TATATATATCCATCCTTCCATTATCTTCCACTTCCTAGGAGGTGCTTCGGGCAAATCAAAATAAATTGATGATTACATTGTACTTGTACTAACCAGTGTACTTTGGTTTCTAAGCACAGTATACCCACTACAAAAATGTAGACTACATCACTGAACTCAGGCCTTCTCCCCATTTACTGGTTGTGATGGAAATGTTCTACTTCAGGCACTCCAACCATCAACTTGTTTTGGGAACATCTCACCTGGACCATTTCTCATCACCCAGTGCTAATGATTAAAACTTCTCAACTCAGACCTTCATACCATCAAGTGGTACAGATGAAATCGCCTCGCCTCAGTCTTTTTTACCAGCAAACACTGGTGTTATGAGTGTCTCATCTCAGGCCTTCTCATCATCCAATGCTCATTTTTGTTTCTTCTCATGTCATGGTTTGTCATTTTCCATTTAGTGCTGTTTTAAGAAACAAGACTGACAAATGCACATCGTGAAATATTATAGTTGATGTAAAGATTTCATGCGCAGTTATTTTTTTTTATCCTAAATGTCTACTAAAATAAAGACATTCAGCACACGCTGACGATGTTCACTGATAAAGGCATCATTCTGCTTCTCATAGACAAATCACTTCCAGATCCTTGAAACACAAGAAAGAAAGAAAAAACCTGGAGAAGTTCTGCTTTGCCCTCCGGCTAAAAACGAACCAATGGAGATGCTGTCCGTTCACTATTTAGCACGAGTGTAAAGAAGTGGCCTTTGCAGGAGAAATGTCCGGCTAATTGGTTTGTTAAGTCCAGAGATGGTGTGAGGGGAGAGACGGGGAGAGAAATCCCTCCTTCCTTTCATCGCAGACAGGTTAAATGTGCAGTTAGGATGGGACAAAGGAGCCGTCCTTTCACATGCAAACATGAGGTATACGGAGCGAGCCAGGGTTTGTGGCTGGTGTGGAGGCTTCCATTGAGAGGCACCAAAGCGTAACGGTGTCCCCTCCCCTCCATGCCTCCCACTTTCCCTCCGTTCTTTATTCCTTTCGTACACTTTTCGTGTTTTCCTCTCCGCCTGCATCCGTGTTTATCTTCATCCTTCTCTCCCTCTGTGTTCGTTTCGGTCGTGAACCCTAAAAGTTTACATTTCCGCCCCTCTCAAAGGAAGAGTCGCCGATCAATCCCTCAACCTAATTTTTTTAAAATCTGTAAACAAGTTATAGTTATGTATAATAAAATTCCATGAGCTGCTGATGTCACATTAAAAGGGGAAGGCTGGCGATAGTGTTTTTTGCTCGTTTGTGTGTCTGCTAGCTAAATATCTCATGAAACAATGGATGCATTTCAATGAAACTAGCAGGAAGTAAACCCTGGATGCACGTGTACACCTGACCAACGTTTGGAGTCAATCTGATTCAAGATGGCCACCACAACTAAATGAAACGGAAACACCATAAAGCGGCCCTAACTCAGTCAGTTTGAAGATATTGACCTGAAATTTGTCCTGGTAGTAACTGAGAGTGATGTGCAACACATATTCTAACAGGAAGGAAAATTGAATTAGAAAAGATTTTGCAGTTGATGTCACTTTTGACTGTCTGTTAGTAAAATATCTTGTGAACAACTGAACAGAATTTAATGACGCTTTCAGGACACACTCTCTAGATAGATCTCTACAACTGTTGAACTTTTCAAGTCAGTCCAATTCAAGATGGCTGCCACAGTCAATCAAAAGTAGCCAATGTATAAATGGCTGTAACTCTGTCGTTTTTACAGGTGCTGAGTTCAAATTTGGTGTGGTAGTAGCTGAGAGTCCCTCACAACAGAATGAGTGTGGCATCTCAGTATTGCAAATATGTATAATTTTTTTTAATGAAGGTTTGATCAAAACAACTAGAACTTCATCAAGTCTTGACATAAGATGGTCATAGTTTAATACTGTAGCATGAAAGGCAGCGGGTGATATTCATTCCGTTAAGGATTAGTAGACATTTAATTCATAACTGAAAGGAAGTAAAAGCAATAGAGTGAGGTTATTAAAATAAACAACCAACATAAACGATGAAAAGTTGTGAAATCGTGATGAAATCCTGACATTTGTGTGGCTCTTCATGCTTCCTCGTGTTTTTTTGCGTTAAAATAAATTTCTATCGCAGTTCATTTTTCTCCCCCGCCTTTGTAAAATATAAGAAAATGTATTCAGAAGATTTCATGTAAATTAAAAAAAGAAACGAAAACGAGCATCAAAGACAGAGGCGGGATCAATTATTCTATTTTTATGCATGTATTTGTTCATTTTCTAACTTTACTCATCCTTAAGAAGTTGAATAGGTTGATTATCATTTTCTCCAAAATAATTAATAAATACAGTTTATTCACGTTCAAAACTATTGACATAGTTTAAAAAAAATCTGAAACTCAAATAGACTTTTTGTAACATTTTGTTGCTGTTACACCACTAATAGGAGGTTTATAGCTTTTAATTTAAACGTGTTAAGACAGGGAGGGCTGGCACAGAGAAAGAAGACAAAAAAGTGAGTTTGGTGGGAGGCGTTGAGTAGATGAGGGTTTGTTTGGTGGTTTTTCGTACAAAGACTGAAGCCGTGAAATGCTGCGTGTAAAAAGCTCGACGCTGGTCGCCTCATTGAGTTGTCAATCCTCCCTGCGGGTCTCCTGTATGATGAGAGCCGTCAGAAAGATTCAGACAGGGAGCTGGAAGGGTGTGGATGACCTAATGTTAAATCAACCCCCCCTCTCTTAGAGCTGTGAGTGACACCCCCGCTGGATAATAATGCTGTCCCTGTGGTGTAGTGGCTGCAGAGGAACTGGACCAATGAGGACCGGACACTGACAACAAAGAGACAATACCACAACAGATTTTAAAAGTGCTACAACAACGATGTAACGCTGGAAAATAGTTCATTTGTGGCCTGGGACGCATTTATTATCACAACTTCTAATAAAAATACTTCATAACAGTAATTTTTTTAAGTTTAATATCCTTTGCAAACACACCAAGAGAACTATGATAACTATGATGTGATAAGTGAACAACCACGACGTAGGAACAATAGTACAAGTAGTAACTAGAAGTTTACGTCAGCATTCATATATATATATATATATATATATATATATATATATATATA